AGAAAAAGGAGGTCTGTTCCTACTGAGGGAACATGAATCACTGTAGTCCTTGGACCGCAGAGTCTAGTACTGGAAGGAGGTAGGGAGCTGATACCATGCTGGTGGCTTTGTGTAGGTACATTACAATATTTCATCAACTCTGTGGCCCATCTCTACAAAAGGAAATATGGTGCCCATTACCCCAGTCACACCTTTCACCAAAGCACATTGTGATCTAGGAAACGTTCACATGTGAAATGTGTGCATCTTTGAAGCAATGTGGCTCGGCATCTTAATCTCTCTCAGAAGGTGCTTGTAAGGGTGACTGTGACTTCCACACCATTCAGATTAGGAAACTGGTGTTTGGAGGCATTCAATAATTTACTCAAGGCTGCATAGTTGTTAAGCATCAGGGCTGAGAATTCCACCCACGCTTGTTCATTGTTCAAACCCAGGCCAGTTCCCAGCCCTTGTTTCTGCCTTCCCCTGGAGCCTTGAGGCCCTCTCTGGTCTTAGCAAAAGCCCATGCTCCACACAGCTATGTGGAGCTGAAATGTGAGTCTGGCTTTAGTGTTCCCTTGCTTCAGAGGTAGCTGTAGAGGAAGGTCTGCGTTCCTCAGTGGTGTCTTGCTGGGCCCTACCCATCCTCTGAGCCTCCTCTCTCCACACACTCTGCAGCAGCTTGTCAGGATTCTTCTATGCCATGTCCCCTCTGCCTGAAATTCCCTTCCCTCCTCTTCTGGCTGATCCTTCTCAGCCTTTGGGACTCACTTCAGTTGTGATTTCTATAGGAAGCCCAGGCTGAGTTAGATAGCTTTCCATTTGTGCAGACACCCATCACTGGGAGCATCCTAAGGGCAGGGCTGAGCCTTTCGTAGCTTTACTTTTCCTCTGCTTAGTCCCATAGCAGGCTCATAGACAACCACCAAGGTGGATGGATGAGAAAACATCTCATTGATGCTGTGAGTGGGTGTGGTGGGGAAGACTTGGGCTGTGATGGGTACCTGTGCAGCAGAGCCCCTCTGCTCACCTACCTAGGCTCAGCCATGTGTGCTCTTAGGGAGTCAGGTTTGTCTTTTATTTGCATGTAAGTCATTTTGATGTGCTTCTTGAGGGGGCATATAATACAATGTCTCACAGACTTAAGGAACTGAAAAGCCCTCCTATGGCCAGGTGAGTGCTCTTCTCCTCCCCCCCGCAACCCCCCCCCCCCCCCCATTGGCCTTCTCAGGACTGATGCTGAGTCAGCTAGAACTTTTTTGGTGAAAATGACAGATATGCAACTCCAGTTGCCTTAGGCAGAAAAGTGAATGAATTAGCATAACAAACTACCCCCAAACTTGCTGGTTTAAAACAATAGCTGTTTTATTATTTGTTTGTGATTGTGAAACCTGGCCAGGCTCAGCAGGGACAGCTCATCTTAGTTCTGCACTGCGTCTGCTGGGATGGCTCGAGCAGTTTGGGGCCAGAACAGTTCATCCTGGGTCCTGTGTCAGGACCCTGATTCTCACTGTTGTCTGGATTCTTTGACCCTTTTTCTGTGGCCAGCTTGTGGTGGGGGGGGTTGTCTCAGCACAGTGGTCTCAGGGTACTTGGACTTCTTACATGGCAACCACCTGGCCAAAGGAACCAGACAAATGCCACAGGGCTCTGGCTTCCTCCAGAGAGCAAAAGTTGAACTGCTGGACCTTCTTTAGGCTTAATCTCAGAACTGGAGCAGCGTTACTTCAGTCACATTCTGTTACTTAAAACAGATCACAGAGCCAACCCAAATTCAAGGAAAGGGAAGCACACAAGGGCAGGAGTCCTGAGAGATGGTTCACTAGAGCCTAGCCAGGTAGCAGTCACCCCAGGCCTGTGGGACTGAGGTGTCCAGGGTGATCGATGCTCAGTATAGCAAGTCCAAGGCCAAGTCCAGGTCATTAGGACTAGTTGTGCATGTGTGCATAGCTCTAGCTCTCCCTCTGACTCCGTACTTCACCTTTCACCTGTGGGCTTTGAATTAGTTCCCTCCAGGCAGTATCATCTGTGCCCTCCCAGCCATCTCCAGGCATGTCCCCTCCCAGCTTCACCTGGAGGGGCAGCACATTACATACTTAAAGCTCAGGCTTGGGGGAGGCAGCTGTGTAGCTGCCTGTGTAGCCTGCCTGTAGCAGCTGTGTAGCTCTGTCAGATGAGGATGTCAGAACTATCCACTTCACAGGGCAGTGTGAGATTTAGAGAATACCCTGGGCTGTGCTGCCTGCACGGCTTGAGGGGGCACATCAGATGCTCAGTAGAACATGTCATGGGCTGGGAAGAAGAGTTCCACAGGGCTTAGCCCACTGTGGCTCTGCCTCTCCTGAAAGGAATAGCAGGCTAGCACCCACAAGGACCTCCCAGGAAGGTCCTGAGTGGAGATGGCAGGCACTGATGCGGTTGAGACTCCCTGTCTCTGTCCTCACCGTACTTGGAGACGTCTGCTCTTCTGAATCTCATGAGGCTCTTAGTGGTGCTAATTGGTTGCCTTCCTCTGGTGTCTGGCAGGACACTGAACCTCAGTCTCAGCACTAGATGCCATGGTCTGCACAGCTCAAGCCTGGGCCCAGAGCCCTAATTGTCCTTTCTTTTTTCTTGAGGCTTCCCTGTCAGACACTTGTCATGGCCCAGATGGTCAAGAAACCCACCTTCTTGCTACTGCTTCCCTCCCAGGTCCTCAGCCTCTGGGAAAGTATGGCACATTCTCAGCAGCAGCATGTCAGGCTCTCTGGCTTAATACACATGGCAACCACCTGACCTAGGAAGGGCGTGACATGCCGGTGTAGGTCTGAGTGCAGAGGCACAGGAGCACCAGTTTGAAAACTTCCAGTCCTTCTTACCCGTGTTCTCAGTACCTGCCTTTTACCTACTGTACATAGTTTTCTGGATTCTTCTCTTGAGGATGAAGATGGGGCTAATTAGTGTCTGTCCATCTGGACTATGGAAGAAGAATAGCAATAGCTCTCTCTCCTTGGGTCCTTGTAAGTGCGCTCCACTGCTGGTTCTGGCTCTGGCTCCTTCAAAGCTACATAGAGGGCGCCTGGGTGGCTCAGTTGGTTAAGCGACTGCCTTCGGCTCAGGTCATGATCCTGGAGTCCCTGGATCGAGTCCCGCATCGGGCTCCCTGCTCGGCAGGGAGCCTGCTTCTCCCTCTGACCCTCCCCCCTCTCATGTGCTCTCTCTCTCTCTCATTCTCTCTGGCTCAAATAAATAAATAAAATCTTTAAAAAAACAAAAACTACATAGAGTGCCAAGCTGTGTTGGGGCTTGTCCTGGGAATCCTTGGAGTGAAAACTCAGAGCAGACCAGGGCTGAATTTCCTATATGTTTGTGCTCCAGGAAGGCAATCAGTAGCGACTTGGCTGAACTTGACCTGTCACTGTAGATCTCTGGCTCTTAGATGTGGACCTGGAGGTAACTGAGGGTCTCAAGGACCTGGCTAGAGCTGCCAGCATGACAGGGTCCTGCAGTAGCAGCCTTTGTTGTTTTGGATTTCAGTAAGTAGTAGAGATGAAATAATATGAGATGTGATTTCCAACCTCCCTAGGGTTTCTGCTTGTTCTCTGAGACAAAATTAGGGCCCTTGCATTTGGCACACCTGCTTGCTGGTGGCCTTACATAGCTGTTTCCCCCTACTGTGTAATGACAAGAAGGAGAGCACATTTCCTGTTGTCTTGTGGAAGCTCAGGCTCAGTTTGCCTCTTAGGGGTATGGCTCTGTGGAATAAGATAAAGTGAGCTGTCTATTTCTTGGGGCCCATGCTGGCCATTGCCTTTTTTGGGTACCAATATTTGATTTTCCATACTTGGACAGTAACCCTGGCAGGACTTTCAGCTGTTAGGCACCACGGCCTGCCCCTGCCCCACCCTACCCTGTCTGTACTTGCCATCCTGTGATTCTAGAGCTGGTAACCCTCCTTCTGGTGTCCATGCCAACTCCTCTTGGGTAACAGAGACAGAGCATCCTCAACCAAGAGACTCCTTGGCAACAGGACCTTGTCTGTATTAGCGATTGCTGATGTTCAGTGTATTGTCATGCATCTAATTTGTCACTGAATAAATGTTACTGAGCCACCACTCAGCAGGCCTGTGCTAGAAGCTGAGGATGTGGTGATAAACTTGACAACAATTGACATGCCACTCTTAGCGTGGAAGCGCACTGGTTAGCCACAGGGCCCAGGGCCCAGGAATACTTCCAGTCTTCTGGGTTTCAAGTTGTCATGACTCCTTTGCCAGTCTGGTCCACCAAGCTAGCCATACAGCTTCATGGGGTCTTGGTGTGGGTCTGCATCCTGTGGGGACTCCAGGAGCTAGTAGCTACAGTTCTTCCCCCTATAGGGACTGAACATCCAGTTGAACAGAGCACATCCTGTGGAGGAAGTTCAGCCATATGAAATGCCGAGAAGGCTGACTCTTCACAAACTTTGATGCAGTACAAATACACAGGAGGGCTTTTAGAAACAGAAGCATGAGGGAAGTGATACCTGTGGTCGAAGTCAGCTACTGGTCCTACCCAGCTGTCAGACAGCAAGGCAGAAAGGCCAGGATGCTTGTGTCCAGGCGGCCAGCCAAGTGCAGGTCCATGTGATGGAGAGGTGGCTGAAGATGTAGCCACTGTGACCCAGAGCTGTTGTTGTTAACAACTCATAACCTTTACAAATGTGTGTCCCCAGAAAGTGGCCAGCTCCTATCCGTTGGACCTCTCTGCAAATGCTCAAGCGACCTATGGACTCAGTTGTTCTAGTGACAGAATGCTTTGTCCTCCTTTGAGACTCAGCTATTTAATGTCACTTGGAGAATCTTTCAGCAGTTTATGCTTTAAAACTGTTAAATTATTCCACTCTTAGAGGTAATTTATCAGCAGCCTATTATATTTTCCTAGGAGCAGTGATTAGAGATAGTACTCAATTAATCACTGTTTCAAATTTTTTGACTTTGTTGCTATCCTCCAGTGAATATAAGCCAAGATAGATGTTGTGTGTTTTTTTTTTCCTTTGTTTCCAGGCAAGCCAATTTTTTCAGTTGATATTCACCCTGACGGGACCAAGTTCGCAACTGGAGGACAAGGTATGTTCACAGAGTAACGGAGGGAGCACTCACAGTCCTGACACCTTGCTCTGCTTCTCCTGGTTGCCCACTGAGCTGAAGATAGAATATATTTGTTTTTCAGTATGGATATGACTCCATTTAATATGTACAATTATAATCTGTTATCTGAACAGGTTAAATCAAAATCCTTTTTTGGTTCTAGTGTGTTTGCTCCATATAAACATTTTGGTAGTGGGTGTATCTTTCTAATTTCTATTCATTGGGTTAATATTAAAATCAGTTTTCATCACCAAGTCCCAGCTTATTGAACATGGAGAGTGGCAGGTGGTCCTTTGGATAGATCCCCAGCCCCAGATGTTGAGGTTGGGTCTTCATCTTCGTTCTGGCAGTACTTTCTCATCTGAAAAAGGGGAAGAGGTGGTTAAACTAAACTACAGAGTTAGTCGTATAGTTTTAGGCCCATTTTCTGGGCTCAGAGGAATTCAGCTAAGATAAAGAAGAAGTATGCTGTGGGCAAGTAAAAATGCCCATGCCATTTGAAAATACGGTCCATAGTGTTATTACTGTGCTTCATGCAGTGTTACAATGTCCCAATAACAGCCCTACTTGGAAAGACAGTCATTTTTCAGACGAGGACACCAAGATGTATATATATGGTGGCACAAGGTAGCATTCCCACAAATCTCAGCCCCCAACAGCTTCACTCTAGAGCAGCGTCTTCCTCTGGCCAAGGCCTCCCTGGACAGCACCTGCAGAGTGCCTCTGTGAGTTCCAGGACCTCAGGCCAGGTGCTGCAGGGTGGGTTGTCTTTGGGCTTCCTGCTGCAGGGGTATGCAGGAAGCCCATGATCTCCTTCTGGCACATCGTGGACTGCATCCAGAAGGTACCCACTGATGTCATCTACAACCACTGGACTAAGCTGGGGGACAGGGTTTTTTCCTCATCCATAAGAAGAGGCATACCTTCCCACCCTTCTCAGTATATAATAAGGTCAAGAAGAGCTGTTTAGGAAATATTTTTATATACTGGCCAGTAGGCAATTTCAGGTATGCCTTATGGTAATTCTGACATGTCCATTTGTAGGCATTTATTGGTTTTTGCTCCTCTATAATAGTTAAATGAGGGGCCAGACTTTTGTTAGTTATCAGTAAATGGAAAGCTTAGAATGAAAAATCATTGCAAAAAAAAAAAAAGAAAGAAAAGGAAGAAAAATCATTGCCAAAATGCATAGATAATTTTTTTAGCAGAGTATTACATAACCTTATGACCCCAGGATCCCTAAATGCCCTCTTTTGATTGATCTCCCATCTGTAGGTGATGGCAAAGGGTAGATAAGAAGGGAATGAGCCTTTTTTCCTATCTTTAGTGCACATTTCATTTAGACTTGGGTCTCAAAGCATCCAGTCAGCTCTGGGAGCAACCCTGAACTCTAGGCAGCACCTGGAAAGGGATCAAAGTACTGGCGGGGATGTGCTGTTGCCCTTGGTTGATAGGGTTCCCATGCACAAACCTGAAAGGGCCCTGGGACATCAGCTTTTCCAGCTCTTCAACTTACAGATGAGGAGTCTGGGTCCTGGGCAGAGATGAGGACCTTCTAGGGGCTCCTGAGGGATCTGTGTTAGAGGACAGACTAGAGCTCGGTCCAGAGTTCTTTTCAAAGTCAGGTTGGCTTCTCTGTACTCCTAAATCCACATGCTTTTTGATCCCCATCAGTGCTTATCTTTCTTCGTTTCTATTCTGTAAGTTAAATTAGTAATGCAAATTTAGTCTCCTCCAATCTAGTCCATTATGGTTTATGAAAGCTAAGTGAGGATTATGTCTCAGAGTTAATACCAAATTTCTACTTCTTGCACATTGAATTATTTCTGCTCCTTCATTCCAGGACAGGATTCTGGGAAGGTTGTGATCTGGAATATGTCTCCAGTCCTCCAGGAGGATGACGAGAAGGATGAAAATATTCCCAAGATGCTTTGCCAGATGGACAATCACTTAGGTATTACAGAGTGGCCCTTTGCAGGCTTTGCGTGTTGGCAGAGTGCCCAAGGTTAGCACATGTGTTTGTAATTAGAAAGATAAGGCCCCGTGCGGCGGTAACTCCCCTCGGCCTGCTGTCTGAAGGCACAGATGTTGGCTGCACACCTGGGTGAGTTATTCGGCAGAAGACTCGGCCCGCCCACAGAACCATCTTTGGACAGTCTGCAGGTACCTCTGGTGATTTCCTGCTCATGAGTCGTTACTGCCTGATTCCATGGGGCTTTGGGGCCAGCGACCTGGAAGCAGTAGGGTTCTGGGGAAGGGTGTTTTAAAGACAACTCACCAAAATGTCTCAGAATTGCCACTGTGTCACTCTGAGGCCCTCTGCCAGGATCCTTTTGATGGTCGGACAGTGTTGTGGTTTCCTTTCCTACATTTAGCACCTTAGTTTCCTGCTTCTGAGCATCAGGGTGACTGTATCTGGCTCTGGTTTCCAACCTAGCTACCTCCCCTGAGATGCTCCATTAACAGCTATGTCCCCTTCCTTAGCTCTGTGTGTTCTTGCTCTCTCCCAGCGTGCCTCATTGCCCTCTGACCTGGAGCACAAGTCACTCACAGGTCACGAGTGGGCTACAGCTTGGACAGTGTCCCTTTTATTGCAGGGTTCCCAAAGGCCGAGCTGTGAGTGCTCCCAGAGGCTCTAACCCATCGGGGGCCTAGGAGGCATTTCTGCTGGTCTTAATTTATAAGTGCAGAACCAGTCAACCTGCAGTGTTGACAAGTTTGGAAAATCTAAATTTAAAAGGGCTACAGATGGGATGAAGTCAGAGTTTTATGCTCTTGCAAGCTGCTCCCCTGAAAGTTTTGGGAAGGGCATTTCAGCCTTTTTAGTACATGCCCTCATTTCAAGAATTCTCCCTGCCCAGAAACACATCTCATCATGAGATAGCCCTTTTGAAATGATGAGATTTAGTTACCAGTTTTCATGGAAATCCACCTCCTGTTGATTGTTTCATCCAGCACTAACACTTCTCAGGTTATGTAGACTTTTCCCTTCCAAACTCTGTCCTGGTCATTTGTTATTACAGCACAAGTAGGATAGTATTTAATCTGGATTATTCTCTGGGACTCACCCACAGTGGATGCCTTGAATAGTTGAGAGAGAATAGGTTTTATGAACCCTTTGCATCTTGCCAGACTCTGCATAAAGCAAATGGGCGTGACTATTGGATTTTCATCACCCTATTTTTTTTTCTTCCCAGCATGTGTGAACTGTGTGCGGTGGTCAAACAGTGGGATGTATTTAGCTTCTGGGGGAGATGACAAACTGATTATGGTGTGGAAGCGGGCTACGTAAGCATCATTTTCCTTTTTTCACATTTTATTTTTAGAAGCTTCTTTGCTGGTCTTAATCACAGTCACCTTTCCCCACTCTGGCACTGAAGTCCCTAGAGCTCCAAACTTCCTGAGTAGCGGGGAGCACACATAGGCCAGGAGCAGCTGGGGCCTGACTAGGGCTTGGGGAGGCGACCCATTTGCCTGGAGACCTGCTCAGTCGCCCCCTCACAGGGCTGCAGGGTTTCTACCTGCAAAGCAGTATTAATCCTTTGCATTGCTGACATTGGTAGCTTTGTTTGTTTTGCTTTTCAAATGAAATTTCCCAACATACAGAATAGGTAAAAGTCAAAGTGCTCTGATGGAATTGGGGCGGGGGAGGGAGGGGATCTGGAGCCTACCCTCTTTGCCATTCACCTCATTCTCTGTCAGCCAGCCCTACCCTGGGACTCTAAGGAGCTCCCCCTTGAGAGTGCCTGCTCTGTACCCACAATGAACTAACCATCACCTAGAAAACTTCTTCTGTAATTCTAGGCAGAGTCTCTCAGGGTGGGTCCTGGGTCTCTGTTCCATGACCAGCTCCCCAGGTGACTGTGGGGGCTAGTCAGACTAGGGAACCAGACCCTTACCCCACTGCTTAGCCAGAGTGGACCTCCGTGTTCTTGCTTAATGGCCATGCGAGCAGAGGCACACTGTCTCCTTTGGCCCACTCAGTGAGCTCCTTCTGTGAGTTTGTAAAGAGTTCTGTGGGAGCAAAGTGTGTTAACAGAGGCTCTGTGCATCAGTGGTGTCAGCACCACGTCCATGAGGACCTACTCGACTGCTTGCATGGCAGGAGCTAGTAGCCATGCTTTGAGTGCTTTGCAAGAGAGCTTTAAAAAGACTGTTGGCTTTGCTGCTTTAGTCAACATAGATAACACAGCAGATAATTTGGGAATCTGAAAATATATAAAAATCACCATCCAAAGAAAGCCATGGTTAATATTTTGCTTTCTGATCCATTTTCCATGCATAGATGATATCCATTTACATGTATTTTTTTTCTTTACATAGTGGTGTCTGTCATATTGTATAGGATGTCCTGTGGCTTGCTTCTCTCACTTAATTATATATGGTGAATATTTCCCCATGCAGTGGATTGTCTCTTACCATGAGATTTGTGATGGCTATGTAGTATTTCATTAAGTGCATGGAACATACCTCACCTAATCAGTCCCTGTTGTTCAACAATTTGATGCTTTCCAGCCATTGTCTGGTTTTGCTTTGTTCTGTCTGCCATGATAAGCCATGCTGCAGTGAGCATCTCTGTGCAGTGCCTAGAGCATGCTTGGAGTGCCTTTCTGACTCCTCTTTCACACAGGTACATCGGCCCCAGCACCGTGTTTGGCTCCAGTGGTAAGCTTGCCAATGTGGAGCAGTGGCGATGTGTCTCTATCCTCCGGAGTCACTCAGGCGGTGAGTGGGGCTGCCTGTTGGGGTGGGCGGCCCTGGCAGCTGTCTGAGGTCAGCAGCAGCACCTCCATGGCCCCTGTGGACTGTTTTGGTCCTTAAAGCAGCCTTGTGTCTGGGCCGTCCCTCCCCATCACCATCGGTCACACCCTGCCTCTCCCTCAAGGTCTGTGTAGTCACTGTACCCACTGCCTGCCTCCAGCTGCACTCAGTGACCCCACTCCTGCCCTCATTGGGTATATGTTTATATCTTTAATGTAGAACTCCCCATGTTCTGCTGTTTATCCTGGTGAACTGAATCACTACCTTCATCAGTGGATCACTTAAGTCCGTAAGCACACTTTATTTATTCCACAGAAACCAGCACACATGAAAAAGGGCCCAATGAAAAGTTTTTTACTTGACCTTGAGTATATTTGAAAAGTGTTTCATAGACTTGGAAAGGGGCACATCTTTAAAGATTTGGACTGAAGAGGAGGAAGGTCAGTCAAGAGCAGTCAAAAGCCATGTGCTGTACACTCAGATTCCAGGGATGCTAGAGTGACTATACCGCAGAAAGCCTGTGGTCTAGCCCAAGAATGGCCTGAAGCATTTCCCAGACAGGGGGACAGCAGAAGCCAGAAAGGCCTGGTGTACATGGTGGGTCGGCAGCATTTCACCACAGCTGGATCTTTACATACAAGGCAGGGAGCAGTACAGAGTGGAGCTGGCTGAGTGTCAGGGGCCAGGTCATGGAAGGTTTGTGTTCCCTGTTAATGAAGGTGGCCTTTATTGTGAAAGAGACAGGGAGCTTTTAAAAGCTTTGAGGTGTAAGAGGGAGATCGTTCAGACAGGTAGAAAAGGAGCTTGTTTCAGTGGTTCAGATGAAAACTGCAAGGGCCTGAACCAGGCCTGGGATGATAATTGGGATGGAGGGGGAGACCGACTTGGGAAATTCTTGGACAAAGCGGGAAGGGATGAAGGAGATTCCTAGCTGGTGCCTGCATAGCCAGTGGTGTCCTCTCTTAGACCATAACGATAGTGGGCTTACAGGATGGACACCAATTCAATGTGGAATGTGCTGAGTCTGGGAAGTGCGGGCAGGGAAGAATGTCACAAGACTTGGAATTGAGCCTGGAGCTCTGGGAGAAGATGGGGCAAGAGTGAGTGGTTTGGAAGGCATTGGCTGTAATCCGCTGACAGTTTATGCCCTGCAAGTACTCTACAGACATTTCAAAGGTAAACAGACCCACCTCTTGGTGACCATAGATTAAGTCCACATTTTTGAAAGCTGGAAGAGTAGCATTGTATAATTGTTGATAACCATAAAAATGTGTAACTTAACCTCACTTATTCACAGTTGCTCACAGCGGAGTCTAATTGGGCTCCTCTGGAACTTGGAGAAAGTGTCCATGCAGGTGTTCAGGTGTGTGGTGGGGCCTCAGTGAGGCCTTTGATGGGTTCCTTAACCTGAGACATGGGCTCAGCCATAACCTCAACTTCTTTCCAGGCCCACCATCCCAGTGCTCTCCTTTACTAGGCAAGTAGGGTTGCCCACTTTCAGCAGGGACACCCATTCCTTGTTCAGTGGTCCTGATAGCAGTTATGAGCAGAACTCTTTAAGAAGAAAAACCAGTGAAAAAGCAGAAATAAATAAGTAGAAAGCACTGGGTCTTTGAAAGTGAAGTGTGGAAAACATATACTTGGCATATTTAATTGGTGGGGGAGGGGAGGAAGAAAAAAACCTAGATGAAATTAGAAGTAAAGGGTCTAGGAAAACATTTAACCTAGAGGGGAAAAATTATCACAGAGTACAGCATAATGTTTATTAAACTAAAAAATAATAATAATAATAATGCTAAAAGAAATAAAAATTTTCTAGAAAATATAAATTTTCAGAAATGATACCATAAGGTTAGGAAAACTTACGGTAGTAACCAATGAAAAAATTGGAATCGTCAGTAATGCTTCCTGATCCTAAGTTATTTTTTGATTTGTTGATGCACTGTTTCAAGCTTTTAAGAAAAATTATTCCAGAATGTAGACCTATTCTTCAAAGGAAGCTGTCACCCTGGGTTTCCAAAACCTAAAAAAATAACAGTAAAATAAAAGCTTAGATGAATATGAAAAAAAATCAGAAACATAATGCTTGTGAATTTGGTAACTTTTGAAAACAGTAATTCATTTTGACTAAATATGATTTATGATGGAAGAATTTTGTGTAAAGGAATCTATTACTATAACAACATACTAGGAGGTTAAATAAGAAAAGACACTCGGGGCGCCTGGTTGGCTCAGTTGGTAGAGCATGTGACTCTTAATCTCAGGGTCGTGAGTTCAAGCCCCAAGATGGGCATGAAGCCTACTTTTTTTTTTTTTTTAAAGATTTTATTTATTTATTTGACAGAGAGAGACAGCGAGAGAGGGAACACAAGCAGGGGGAGTGGGAGAGGGAGAAGCAGGCTTCCTGCTGAGCAGGGAGCCCGATGCGGGGCTCGATCCCAGGACCCTATCCCAGGACCCTGGGACCATGACCTGAGCCGAAGGCAGACGCTTAACGACTGAGCCACCCAGGTGCCCCGGGCATGAAGCCTACTTTAAAACAAAACAAAACAACAACAACAATAAAACACACAAAAAAACCAGTCATCTTAGGAGGTATTCTGAAAGGAATATTAGATAATTTAGCCTCAGTTTTTAATAAAAATATTTTTTAAATGGCCGTAGGAAGCTATTTCCTTAACATGAAATGTCTTTTTCAAACCAATGGCAAATATTACAGCACACAGCTATTAGAACTTAAAAAGCATTGAAAAGCACCTAGGGCTAATAATGAATGAGTCATTGAGTTGGTCTCATATAAGAAAATTTTTAATTATTCATCTTTCACTAGTAATAGCCAATTAGAATATCTAATGATACAAAGAGACTCTTAATACAGCAGGAAGAAAAACTGTAAATACTCAGGAATACTCTTACCAAGAAATGTATGAGATCTATAAGACTTAAACCACAAACCTTTTTTGAGAGAGATAAAATGACCACTTCATAAATGGAAAGACCAAATAAAATAGACACTATTTTTTCCCAAATTCATTTAACAAATATTTATTGAGCACCTGGTATATTTTGAGTGCTGTTCTACCCTCAGGGAGTTCACATTATTATAAGAGAGACAGACAACTAGTCACATCAGAAACCAGAAGATAAGTGCTGAGGAGCAAAATGAGATGGGGTTTTCCAGGAGGCCTCACTGAGAAGGTGACATCCAAGAGGAGACCAGGTGGAGGTTAGGGGACAACTGTGTGCACATCCAAAGAGCTTTCCAGGCTGAAGGAATAGCCGGGACAGTAGCTTTGGAGTGTGGATGTGTGCTTGGTGTGTTCACAGAACCACCTGAGACTAGGACATGGCCACTGTGGGGGGCTCTTCTCTGAGAGAGATGGGAAGGCTCAGTAGGATTTTGAGTAGAGCAGTGAGGAGGCCTGTGGCAGCTGCACAGACTACAGGCAGCACTGGAGAGACCACTGAGGAGGCTGCTGACATAATCTCGGTGAGAGACAGTAGACCTGGATCATAGCGGTGGAAGTCAGGAGGAGCAGTGGTCAGATGCAGAGTTCTTGGTGGATGGGATATAGGGTGTGAAATAAGCAAAAGGATCAGGACGGTTTGGACTGTGGTCTGGTGGGTGTCAAGGATGCAGTTGCCATCACCTGATGGCAGGTGTGTAGGTGGGACAGAAATGTTTGCTGAAGGAAATGTTTAGGAATTGGCTTTGGGGCATGTTTAATTTGCATTGCCTAGCAGCGGTGTAAGTGGCCCTGCTGCATAGGCATTTTGATATGTGAGAGTTGAGTACAGGGGAGAAGTACATGGGACTGGAGGCCAAGGGTGGAGGCTGGGTTTCAGAGGGTGATGAGAACCAGTGAAAGAGGCTGAGATGGAGAGGAGGCCAGTTAAGATAGTGGAGAGAGCGTTTGAAGGAGAAGCGATCGAGCAGTGTATCACGTGTTGTCTTGAGGTCAGGTGAGGACTGAGGATATTGAGCATTGGACTTGATGACATGGAGGCCTCCCATGGCCTTGGCTGGTGCCCATGGCCTTGGCTGGTGCTGTTCATGTTGGTGCAGTTGGGTGGAAGCCTCATCAAAGGGTCCTCAAGAAAGACCCAGGGGAGTACAGAGCTAGATTGAACCAGGCTGGGTTTTGTCAGGCACCCGTGAAAACAGAAGAGCAGAGGGTATGGTAGACTCTAAGCCAAACAGGGAGACAGACAGCAGAAGGCCCGTAGCACCTGGAAATTCTGTTGGAGTTGAGAGGAAGCTGGAAGCACCGGTTGATGGTAGGATTATGGGAGGGCTGGAATTCAAACGAGGGAGGAATTACAGTGATTTCTTTGGGGGGATCTCTGGGCATGACTGGGAATGAATGCCTGAGGTAGCAGAAGCCAAGGTTACTAGAGGAGGAGGCGGAGTTTAAGGATCCAAGAGCCTTGGGTATTTAACAGATCATCCTCCCAGAATCACCAAGAATGATGATGAGAATATCTGGAATGACAGTGACCAGAAACTTAACTCTTCAAATGCAGGAGGGTCTCAGATGTATGTAGATGTGCAGTGGGAAAGAGCGGGAATGGTATAGTCTGAAGAAAGGAGCTCCAAAACTGGGGTTTAGGGAGAAAATTAGTGGAAAATTAGTCCATAAGTGGCTTTACTGCATAACTCAGCAGTGACTCCAAAGGGCATTTGGAAGAATAAGGAAGGTTGCAGAAGAAATCATTCAAAGCTGCAATGATTAAAATGTCGTGGGTTTGGGGGCAAAACTAACAACATTGAAGTAGACTTACATGTACCTAGGAACTTGGTGTATTATTGTGAAGCAGACATCAATTACCAATTATGGAAAGAAAGAAGTATTCCCCACTTGTGATAGAATAACCATTACACGGTTTGTAGAGAGTAGTGTAGAGCCTCATTACAGCATGCACTGAAATAAATTCCAGATATTAAAGAGAGAAACATTCTAAATAATTAAAGCAGAAGAAAACAGAATTGAATATTCATCAAACCTCTAGCAGAGGGAATATTTTTTAAGGTTAAAAGGCAATAAAAGACCTCACAAAGGATAATAACAGACTTTACTATATAAATCTCCTACAGTATAGGAAGATAAACTGATAGAACTTGCAGCTAATGCCTGTATTATCAGTAGTCCATGGGAATTGCTCGGAAAATCACATCTCCCTTCTGGAGTTCCCAGCTGACCACCTCTCTGCTCTAAGACTTAGGTATCACGGTGAAATTCTGATGTTTACATTCTGCCCCTCCTGGCCTCTGAGCTCCTAGAGGAGGTTTTTATTCCTCATTTTTGTAGGCACTGCATTGGTTTTCATTAGACCCGCTGCACAGAAGGCCTCTCAACAGACAGAAGATGGGAGCAAAATAGTTGAAGAAGACAACTTTAGACAGATATGAAAAATCTTCACTTTCATTAGTAAAGTGAAGTTAAAATATAAAAATGTACTTAATAAGTTAGAAGAGAGAATCATAATCCCCAAGATAATAGAATTTTGAAATGGACATTCTGCTTATAAAAGTGTGAAATCATAGAGGTTTCTGGAAAGCTGTCTACAGGGTTAAGAGAATCCAGACTTGGGAAAGTCGTCAGGCATTCTGCCCAGAGTCCCACTTTGGGATATCAGTCACAAGAAATAAGCCAGAGTGTGGTGAATGGCATACACCTGTGTGCTCATTAGCTTGAAACCTGGGACCCAGTTAATAGTTCATTGTTGAATCAGGTCTGTTTATGGTAGTGAATGCTCTCAAAGACATAGAATGCAGAGCAAAACAAAATGAGCCCTTAGGATCACATAGGCTATGAGGATACTAAATGCAGCACACTAGTGCATATGCAGTGTGAAATACAAAGTGCAATACCTTGGGGGAAAAAATCATGAAGCTGTCCCTGAAGATTGTAAATAATAGAAAAAAACAAAATAGAAGTTTTGAGTATTTTGCTTACACCTTTTTTAAAAATACTATGAGAAGAGGACTAGATAGCTATTAACTTGCTGTGTTTCTGTTTCTTCACCTCACCAGCCATTCTTCTGTACACCTAGCACTGCACCAGGCACAGAGGTTAGAAAAATCACACCTGCACGGCGAGATGGGCCCGGTCATCGTCACCGTCACAGTCACAGCTGACCTTTATCGATGCCTTGGTGTGTGCCTGGCACCGTGCTACAGCAGTTTCTCACATTTAATCCTCATAATAATAACCCTCTGAGCATAGGGGTTTTTTTTTTAATCTGCATTTTATAGATAAGAAAACTGAGTCACAAAGAATTGAACATGAGTGATTATGTTTGGGGGCTCTTCTAGGGAAGGGATACTCTGGTGGGGTCTTGGAGATGAGGTCCAGTTTGTGAGGAGAAGGGCCTAAAGATGGCCTCCCACTCATTGGGCAGCTATTGGACTCTGGCTGTGTGTGCTAGGCATTCTGCTAGGTGCTGTGCCTCTAGTGCTCAAAGGGCGCTCAGAAAGGCCCAGTTGGGATCAAGAGAAGCAAGCTTAGCGAGCCTGAGGCCACAGACCCAGCAGGTGTCAGAGCCAGGGTTCTTATACGTGGCCCCAAACTCTCAGCTATGCCCTCAGTTACCTCTTTAGTGAGGGGTGAGGGAGGTCACTAAGATGCCTCAAATGTCATGACCAGTTCATAAACCTTAGTGGGGAAGTTTTACAGATTGGTTTTTAAGAAAGAGTCTAGTTATGATTTCAAGTCAAGTTTCCTCAAACATGAGATGCTAGGGGCTGCTGGCCCACCTGGCAGACGGGTGTTGCCAAGTGCCCCCCTCACTGAGTCTGCACACCAGGTAAGACACTCACCACCAGCCCTCTGTCTTCCAGATGTGATGGATGTAGCATGGTCTCCCCATGATGCCTGGCTGGCCTCGTGCAGCGTGGACAACACTGTCGTCATCTGGAATGCTGTGAAGTTCCCAGGTCTGGGCCTCTGACTGGGTGGCGGCAAAAATGGGCTGATCATCTGGAGCAGGGTGGGCTCTCTGTCTCCTAAGGCTGGTGGTAACAAGTGTCTCACAGTGAATGGGAATTCATGTGTCTTGTCAGCAACTCAGTTCTTTTTTTCTTCGTCAGTGACATTTGTTTAAGATTTTAAAAGAGGTTTATGTTAAAAAGAAAAATAGTAACTGAGTACTAGCGTGGATGTGCCACAGATCATGAGGGTGATAGGGTGGTGGTGCATGTGCTTGGGCACCTGGCGTTCCCCCTACACACACATGCCCTTGAAGGCATGCCTCCCCACTGCTGGGCTCTGGCCTCCACTCAGTTGCCATCTCCTCTCTGAAGCTCTTAAGCAGATATAGGCTAACAAAACCAGTTTTGCAAAAGATTAGTATTTCTTACTAATGTGTTAAAGTCACAACAGATGGCATAACCTGGCATATCACTGCAGTTTATAACCAGTAAGATACTTTTGTTCCTATTTGGTATCTGGAATAAGTTTTGTTCATGGGCTAAAAAAGCATCCTCCATGAACTTGGTCCAAGTCATTTTCTCTCTCTGTAAGCCACCAGGATGGGCGGAGGGGCATTTTCATTGTGGTCACAGCCAGATTTAGAGTTGGGGTGGCATTTAGATCATAGATCTCTAGGACATGCTGTTTCATACTCCTTTGTCCTCAGTGATGACTTACAAAGAACTTTCAGCATAGTGCTCCATCCCCGAAGCTGTTAGTCCTGCTCATTATCAGGGAGCTGCCAGGGAGGTTCAAATCAGAAATATTAATGTTACAGCCCAGGTGGGCATGGCCTCCTGTTCAGATGGAGAAACCACTGGCAGAGCTGCCTACCACAGACAAGTCAAAGGGGCAGAATTTGGCTCTGGCCCAAGCCTGGATCCCTGCTTGCCTGCCCTTTAGGGGGCTTGTGCAGGCTTGGTATTAGCTGTGGCTAATGGGAAATCACAGTGCCTGTCTCCTGGGTGCAGTCCTTCTTTCAAGTTGCTTTTGTCTTCTGGGTGATAGACATTGGGGAGGGTGTGTGCTATGGTGAGTGCTGTGAATTGTGCAAGACTGTTGAATCACAGATCTGTACCTCTGAAACAAATAATACAATATATGTTAAGAAAAAAAAAAGAAAAGAAGATAGTAGGAGGGGAAGAATGAAGGGGGGGCAATCGGAGGGGGAGACAAACCATGAGAGACGATGGACTCTGAAAAACAAACTGAGGGTTCTAGAGGGGACGGGGGGTGGGGGGATGGGTTAGCCTGGTGATGGGTATTAAAGAGGACACGTTCTGCATGGAGCACTGGGTGTTATGCACAAACAATGAATCATGGAACACTACATCAAAAACTAATGATGTGGTGAGGTGATTAACATAACAATAAAAATTTTTATTGTTTTTATTTAGAGGTGATTAACATAACAATAAAAATTTTTTTAAGTTGCTTTTGCCTTGATAGAGATCAGATTAGGATGCTTGTGCCCAGGGATGGGAGCTGGCCAAGGTGGACTCCTGAGGTCCCTTCTCTTGGCTAGCCGTTCCATAGCCCATGGATTGCAGCTCATGTTTCTATGTAGACTCATCATTTCCCCCTAGCTAATGCTTTTCCAATCTCTTTTCCTCCACAGAAATTCTAGCTACTCTGAGAGGCCATTCTGGCTTGGTAAAGGGGTTAACTTGGGACCCTGTTGGTAAATACATTGCCTCTCAAGCTGATGACCGCAGCCTAAAGGTATGGAGAACGCTGGACTGGCAGTTGGAGACCAGCATCACCAAGCCTTTTGATGAGGTAAGGAGACAGCTCGGGGAGCTCAGTCCAGCAGCCTCCCTGGCCTCCATGCACAGAGGAGAAGCTGGCTGGAGTCCATACCTTGTGGGTGAATGCAGAGTCTAGGGGCCTGAGCAGACTGTCAAGGTTCTCTGGGGATGGGCACTCTGGCCCAAAAAGTCAGATGATGAAAATCTTTCATTTCTCAGACGGTATTAAGTGTCCAACTTTGAAGTGAGGAAAAAGCTGAAGAGAACCTTAGTGATGCCTCCATACCATTGTGCCACACAGGTAGAGGAGGCCCTCTCTTATTTTTCCTGACTGCTGTGGCTTTACTCACTGACTTGCACTCTACATGCCAGCCAACTTCTTTCTTGGATAGTATAAGCAGTACAGCGTGCACAATGTCTGGATGTCAGACTGCAGTGACTGGTGTAGTATTTTACTACCTTTTCTTTTATTTGGGTTCTTGTTTCATGTGGAATCAGAGTTCAAGATCTCCATTATTTGTTAGATATTTCTTAAGTGCCTACTATGAGAAGGGCAGTACTGGATAAAGGAAATGAAAGTGGACTGAGATGGAGTCTTTTCCTTGAAGCTTAGAGCCTGCTGGGAAAGATAGACTTTCACATCTGTTGTGAGTATGGTGATGGAGTTGTCCAGAATGTGCAGAAACAGCCCAGGAGTGCTGATTGCATCAGATGAAGGGCTGTGAGCAAAGTTTTGCAGGAGATGTAGACATGTGCCCCCAGGTCAGGGCTGGTTGCAAAAGGAAGGTGGAAATCATGTATTCGGTTTTCCCCAAATCAACAGCACTACATTAGCACTGGTATTCACCCTGTTTAGTCCTGCCCTCCTTGGCTGCAGCCTGGTACAGACAACATGAGTCCTCATGCCTTCTGGAGCTCTTCCTCAGGGCTCCAGCAAGCAGACAGCGGGGTCCCACTAATATGGGTTTCTGGGGTCAGCTATGGAGATAGGCAGGAGTGTTTGGAATCCCAGTGGGAGCTGGTGGGACTCCTCAGCCTCGGGTAGGCCTGAGTGGGCTTGAGGCAGGTATGTCACTACACTCAAGGCCACGCCTTGTCCTACCCTTCTCTGGGGCTATGAGGCCAAGATCTTAATTCCTAAGTCTTTAAGGCTGCCCTGGACTGACCTTGAGCTTTAGGGGGCAGGCTTTCTGGCCCATATCATCTCACTTTGCAGGAATAATAATGTGGAGGGATGCCTCACTTCAGCCCTAGTCCAGGTCAGGGAGCAGTGCCTTTCTGCCATGCATTTTATGGTTTATATGAACTTTAAAATGCTCTTCTCCTTTGCAAGTAGCACACCAGGCTTCAGTTGAGTCAGACTGGAGAAAGTGTGTAGTGGCTTATGGTCACTGGTTGCATCACAGAGACAGGCTCCTAAGGGTCCCCAGAGCTCTTTCTCCACTGAAGTGAATGCTCTGCAGACCTCTTGTGGTAGGGTTAACATGCTAGACAGAAGAGAGAGGTCAGCGGCCGGACAGATTTGTCCCAAACAAAATTGACAGTTAAAAGAGGTGGCTATCCTACAGATCCCCTCAGGCCTATGCCACTCTGTTGCACTCAGCTCCCATAGGGGAGTGTAGGATGCTGCAGCTCCCAACCTCATCTGACAGAGCCTTTTTTATTAGATCACCTAGAGAGACTGGAATGTTATAGCTGTCAGCATAGCCAGAGCTCGTGTACATGCTCCACCATCATACATTTATAAATCAGAATTCAACTTTATTCTTGAGGACAGAGTTTTGGTCACACAGTTGGTCTTGAGCTCCTTCCAAGTGCAGATGTTTCTTTCAGTGTGGAGGGACAACCCATGTGTTGCGGCTCAGCTGGTCACCTGATGGGCACTACCTGGTGTCTGCCCACGCCATGAACAACTCTGGCCCCACTGCCCAGATCATTGAACGGGAGGGCTGGAAGACCAACATGGACTTTGTCGGGCACCGGAAAGCTGTGACTGTCGTGGTGAGTGTACTTAGCCTTCACCTGGGTGGTGTCTTGCCCCAAGGCTGGGTCACATGTGGGACTGAGGTTGTGGGCTCTGAGAGTCAGCACATGCCACATTCTTGTTTCATTTTAATTACTTATGTTTCATAATTTTTAATTTTTTTTTTTAATTTTATTTATTTATTTGGCAGAGAGTGACACAGCGAGAGAGGGAACACAAGCAGGGGGAGTGTGAGAGGGAGAAACAGTCTTTCCGCTGAGCAGGGAGCCCGATGTGGGGCTCAATCCCAGGACCCTGGGATCATGACCTGAGCCGAAGGCAGACGCTTAACGACTGAGCCACCCAGGCACCCCGTTTCATAATTTTTAAACAGATTTTATAAAACAGAATACATGCTCACATGTTTTAATGAATATCACCAAAATCGGTCTTTGATTGGGAACATTGTAGCTCCACACTAGCCATTTTACACATTTGGGTCAGGTCCTGGGTGCTCAAGCATGGTGGTCCTGACAAGTGCCCCAGTAGCATGTGCCTGCTGAGCACGTGTGCCTGCACCCCAGCAATGGCCAGGCATAGCTGTGAGGCCATGCTGTGGATCACCTGAGTCTGGAGCTGCCCTGCCCAACCTTGTCGTGGAGGGTGAAGGGTATCAGAAGATGTGGACTACCATTAACGATCTTCTCAGCACTGGGCAACCAAAAGAAAGTAAATAGGTTGGTGGGCTAAGGTTGATAAAAGTGAAGGATCATCCAGGACCCTGATCTCAGTTTTTCATGTTCCTTAAAATGGCCTTAATCCTTCCAACTATTTAAATTAATAATAAATATTACAGGGGCGCCTGGGTGGTTCAGTTGGTTAAGCGTCCAACTCGTGATTTCAGCTCAAGTCATGATCTCATGGGTCATGGGATCGAGCCCCTCATTGGGCTTCCACGATCAGCAGACTGATCAAGGTTCTCTGGGGATGGGCACTCTGGCCATGCACTGGCTGTCTCTCTCAAATCTTTAAAATAATAATAATAGGGCGCCTGGTTGGCTCAGTTGGTTGAGCGACTGCCTTCGGCTCGGGTCATGATCCTGGAGTCCCGGGATCGAGTCCCGCATCGGGCTCCCTGCTCGGCAGGGAGTCTGCTTCTCCCTCTGCCCCTCCCCCTCTCATGCTCTCTCTCTCTCATTCTCTCTCTCAAATAAATAAATAAAATCTTTAAAAATAAATAAATAAATAAAATAATAATAAATATTATATTTTGTGACTTAAGATATATATGTTTTATACAAATAAAATATTGCTTTAATTTTTTTTGTATTGGAGCCTACGGAGGACTTTGTTTGAAGCCAGGTCCTTGTTATGAAATGTTTGAAAATCACTGCTTCAGGGTAGCACAGGGCTTCCACATGACTGTCAGGTGGTCCTCATGGGCACTGTAAGAGTGTCTCTGTGAGACCGTGGTACTGAGGCTTCTCAGCCAACTCAGGGTGAGACTCAAACCCAGGGTGCACACCTCCAGGTTCCGTGTTGCCTGGTCTCTGTGCACCACTAGCCATTCCTGCCTGCCCTCAGGAATTAAAACCCCTGTGGGCCAGGCCTGCTGATATCAGGCTCCAGGGAGCCACCCTTCCTCCTCAGCTGTCCTGGCTTGGGAATTCCAGCTCTGAGTCTAGAGTACCCATCCCTTTCAATCCAGAAATGTGGCAGGAGCTCTTTCTGTGCTTCCAACCTTGCCAAAAGCAGCACCCAGGTTACACCGAGGATAGCCCCCAGTGCGGACTTCAGCGTGACTTAGCCATCGTCCCTGGCCAAGTGAGATTACTCAGGGGTGATCAGTATATACTAGACAGTTTTGACTCTGAGCAACAACTACAGTGAAGGGGAAGGGATTATTGGAGTGGATAGCTGACAATCCCATTGACCTCTGTCAAGACTTTGTCCCTAAAGCCAGGTCCTGGAACTGGCCTTGCTCAGGCCAGGAGGAATTCAGAGAGCCAGTTTCAGTAGCTCCCATGCCATCAACCTGGCTGCAGGCCCAGAACTGGAGAGTTGGTAGAGCCAACTTCAAATCCTCGTCCCACCACTTACTCATTGGGTGACTTGGCCCACATTTCCTGGCCTCCCCGAGACTCTGTTTCAACCTCAGCAAAATACCTCCTGGGTAGTTATAAAGATGAAGTAAAGCATGACGAGTGCCTGGGGCTCGGAGGATATGTCATTGTGGGTTTCCTGCAGACAAGGCTGGTATTGTGGTATACTTCTAATACTTGGCATAGGGTATATGTTTGATGCTTGATTAATTATTTTAACATTGTTATTTGGCTTTAGAAATTCAACCCAAAAATCTTCAAAAAGAAGCAGAAGAATGGGAGTTCTGCAAAGCCCAGCTGCCCATATTGCTGCTGTGCTGTTGGCAGCAAGGACCGTTCTCTCTCTGTCTGGGTGAGCCCCCACTCCCTCCCCCCAACCTCCTACCAAGAGCTTTTGTGGCTCCTGCAGAGGGAAGGAAAAGGAGCTGGTGAAGGAGGCGGAGCCCAGAGGCCTGGAAGGGGAGAGACTTCCCCCACACTTCTAGTGGTGCTCAGTGTGTCCTTCCGCCCTACACCTGGGATCAGGCCCCCTCGTTACCCCAGGAAGAGGGAAGGACTGAAGACTGGGCTTGGGCCCAGCTTGGAGAGGCCACCCTGAGCCCCAGTCAGAGCAACTGTGTGTCCAGACTCAGGGAATACCCTCAGTTGGTGTGTTGTGTTTGCTTCCTTTTAGAAAACCTTTCTATCTATATATAACCTACAGCAAATGTATTCACCTAAAGTGTACACCTCGGTGCATTGTCATACATGTATGACATGCATACATACAGTCTAACCACCACGCCATAACCCCTCGTCCCTGCCCAGTCAAAACCCCACTTCTCAACCCCCCTTGGCCAAAGCAACCACTCCAGTGATGTCTGTCACACTGATGAGTTGTGTAGTTGTGTTGCTTTCACTTGGCATAATATTGTTGAGATTCATGTTTGTTGTTGCATTTTGCAATCAGTGGTTTGTTCCTAACTAGTTATTAATTTCCCCCATAAGCAGAATGGATTTGTAGTTGTAGACTTGAAGGTTATCCTCTGGCTACATTTGTTACAGTTTTTTGTCACAGAGAAATTGCTGCATACACTGTGGGCTTTTTTCAGGCCCTTATTCACGTGACATTTCAGAACCTGAACCCTAGTGCCATCATAGGCAGTTCCAGGAATGTTCTTCCCGGGCTCCTTCTGGCCTGGGGCTCCATTTGTGGTGCTTTGACCAAAACATCACTGATCGTGTCTCATTTTCTTATAATGCTGAGGTCAGGTGTTAACACAGGCTCCAGATTTCTGAGTGGTCTGTAGGCACATTTTTGGGAAGATAGACGGGGCTATTTTTTTCTGGAAGTGGAAATTAGGGGAGGGACAAGATTCTTCTTGTGGATTCCAGGTAGCTCAGATTCCCTATTCTCAGGACTAGGGTAGCTGCAGCAGCTCTTCCCCCACAGAAGCAGCACCTGATGGGAGCCATGCAGAACGTGTTCCCTCCCAGCCCATTACGCTGTGGCCCCTAGACCTGTCAGCAGGGTGGCCAGACACTAGCATGTGAGCTGTGGGGTTGTAGAGATGGCACACAGCCCAGCCTTTTAGTGACTAGATACAGGTATACATGTGGTGAATGTTGTGCAGTCATCAAAGAGAGGTTTTTACAGTGTTTAATTATGTACTTATTATGTATTAGATGAAAAAGCAAGCACAATCATGTGCCAAAGAATAAAATATTTGCATAAGAGAGGTCAAGAGAAAATAACTCAAGTGTTATAGTGGTTAACTGTGGGTCTGGATTCAAGGCAACTTAAACTGTTTTTGGTGTTGCTGGACTATCCGCACACACTTTGTAGAATGAGCCCATGTGATGTATGTAGCCAGTTACACCGAGCTTTGCATTAATACGTACCAGAACTCCTTGGGCCCAGAGAAGATGTGCTGGCTTCTCTCCGAGCCTGTTGTCCTCTCCTGGGTGCTACTTTTGCTGCTTCATTTTCTACCCAGGCCTTGGCATCCTACACCTGCTTGTAGACGTCTGCTCAGGTCATTTCGTCTGCCTTTCTAGAACCCCCTTCTCCATTTCTGGTTGTCTATGTATAAAGCCATCTCCTCTGCCAGACCACAGCGAGCCCTTCAGACAGGGGCCACACTAAAATGCCTATTTTGGCAGGTTTTGGTTTCCACAGTTTGGGATCTTGCTGATTGCTGTTTGAATAGAGTCAAATATGCCCTGTATGTCAACAAAAACTCAGACCAAGGCTTCTAGGACTGTTGGTGAGCTGAGTGGACAGAAAGCGTTTTCATTCATTTCATTAACCTTTCCCGCTTCTTTCCCTCCAGCTCACGTGTCTGAAACGGCCTTTGGTTGTCATCCATGAGCTATTCGACAAATCCATCATGGATATTTCCTGGTAAGATGGATTCTTCTTACAATGCACAGGCTAGGAAAAGAGAAGCCACACGTTGGAACACGAGGCCTCCGGATGTGATTAGGGTCAGGCAGCCAGGGATTACCCCCACCTCCTACTCCCCAAGGTGTGGCAGCCAGAGCAGACCCCTGGGTGCTGTCTGCACATGATTCAGAAAAGGGCAGCTTGGGCCTGCCATTGGGAGAGTGTCTGCTGCTGTGCTCCTTGCTTTGTTGGCATTTGCCCCTGGAAAATACTTCCTAGGCAAACTGGCATTTGGGAAATGGAGAGTGCTGTGATTCTGGTTTCACTTTACTTTGTCATTGCATGAACCAGATTAGCACAAGTGTAGAGACACATTTTCTGCTTCTCAGTGACTTCATTTAGATGTATACTTAATGTTTTTTTAAAAGTGGTTTCAAAAACAAATAAAAATGAAATTCTTACAAAATACAAGATGAGAGGGGCGTCTGGGTGGCTCAGTTGGTTAAGCGACTGCCTTCGGCTCAGGTCATGATCCTGGAGTCCCAGGATCGAGTTCCGCATTGGGCTCCCTGCTCAGCGGGGGGTCTGCTTCTCCCTCTGACCCTCTTCCCTCTCGTGCTCTCTGTCTCTCATTCTCTCTCTCAAATAAATAAATAAAATCTTAAAAAAAAAAAAAATACAAGATGAGATATAATTTGCACATTTGCTTAGAATTAGAACTAAAGGACACCAGAACCTGCTAGGGTGTGATTGTCTCCCCTGCCCCCACCCTACCAGGGAATGCCACAGAAGGGAATGAAGGGTTTCTGGCATCTCTGTAAAGTCCTGCATGCCATCCTCCTGGTCCAGCCTTGGAGTTGTAGTAAGCCCCATAGGCACTTGCTCCCCAGGCTGCTAATAGCCATCTCTTTCAGGACTCTGAATGGGCTGGGCATCTTGGTGTGCTCCATGGATGGCTCTGTGGCATTCCTAGATTTCTCCCAGGATGAGCTCGGAGACCCCTTGAGTGAGGAGGAGAAGGTAAGAGAACAGTACACCTTCAGCTAGTGGCCTGAGTGCTGCACTTGCTATCGGGCCATGGAAATAGCCACCACCGCTCTGACAGGCCCCTTCAATTGGACCCTCCTCTTAGGATATACACAGACACATTGTTTCTTAAAGTATTATTGGGTATTTGTCTTTATAGCTCATAATGCTTATCTTCTTTACAAAGTAGATTAAAGATGAGACTCTTATTCATGTCAGAAATCAGTTCTGGAATTAAGAATAAAACAAGTTGGGCATCTTTTCTTGAGCTTATAACTAGCCACACACCGGAAGGTTTTCACCCTGGAAGATAGTGAGAGTGACTCCCAAGGGTCCCTGCTCATGTCACTTTCCTTGTCTTGTAGAGACATAGTTGCCACGGAGCAGCAACTATAACAGTAATACTGGTCATTTCTTAGGACTTACTGCATGCCAGACTCTGGGCCATGTATTTTGCATGTATTATTTCATATGAATTATACAAAACCCTTCAAGCAGGGCTCATTCATTTTATCAATGAGGTAACTAAGCCTCAGAAAATAGTGTGGCTCTTTGCAGAGACTGTATATGACCCTTAGGTATGAGAACAGAACCATGAGCCATGCCCATAGGCCTCCCCACTGTGCTTTGCCCAGGACAGGGTAGCCCATGTGCTCTTCTTCAAGGACTTTGGGAAAGGCCCTGCTTAAAGGACCGTAGACTGAGAAAGCAGACATTTCTATAGATGGGCCTTTGATGACACTTAGTGAAATGTGTTTGTCTGAAAGAAGCCTTATGAAAGCCCAGAGGAGGTGGGCAGCTCTCCCCTTCAAGGTGCAATTACTGGTAGAGGCTCCCTCATAAGCTACTGTGTGGACCTCCCACAATGATGTAAACCCCTTGGGGATAGGGGTCTGCCTTCTTGACATACCTAGAATGGCCTGGTTCCCTAGGAATCACTGGTCAGTGAAGGGATGAGTATCTCACTGGCCTCAGGTCTTCTTTCTACCCTGTCACTGTTGTCAGGTATCCTGGGATTGCTGTGCGCTCCCCTCCCTCTTGTTGAGTCCTGGTTCGTCGGGGGGAGCCCTACAGAATAATACTGTCTAGCTTACCATTTCCCAGATGGCAGGCAGGGATCCCATGTTTAAGAAACATAGGTAAACATCTGCCAAACTCTGAATTCTGCCTCCAGATTTCAGGGAGGGATTGAGGGGAGAAGGGACAGGTAACAAGGGAGGGAGGTTCCTGGCCACATACAGCACACCAGGCCCTGCAGAAATGGGTCCCAGGGCATCACCTCCCCCTGCCCAGTATCCTCTGCTCTGAGGCATATGTCCTGTTGGCCTCAGTTGGTCATTAGCACATCCTTGTATGAATCTGCTTCTCATCACACCGGTCACTCTGATGTGCTGTGGACACTGTCCCTGCCCACTTGGGGTCCTATCTGGTTTGTTGTCGCATGGGACTAGTGAGACCTGGGAAGGTGGAGGGAGGGGCCCTGCTCAGAAGCGTCAGGACATGTTAGGGAACAGCAGAGGCAGAGAAAGATTTCCCTAAGTCTGTTGTGCCAGGCCTTCCCTTACTCTAAGACACTGTTAGCAGCCTCACATCAACTTCCAACCACATGGGGCTGACGACTGCAGACAAGAACAGGGAAAGGAAGCTCTGGATTTTAGCATCTGATTCCCCAAAAAGTGTTTGGGGTCCTTGGAGTGATTTAAGAACCTTACATTAGCAATTTGAGTGTCTTAATTTCAGTTCAGCAAATGTTTATTGCCATTCATTCTGCACCAGACCACGTGGTAGGTGTTTCATCAGTTACTCATTCACTTTCATCCCTGGTTCTAGATACACAAGAGGTTCTAAACATCTAGAGAGGGTGTAAGACTTCTCCAGAGTCATCTAGTCAGCCACAGGCAGAAAAGTGTGGGAGGCGAGGGCAAGCTGGCACCCAGGGCCCTGGGACCACTGCCCAGGACCCTTTCCACTCTCAGAATCAGGAGAGCCAAGATGCAGCTCGCCCACACTAGTGGGCACTAACCACCACTTTGCTGCTCACAACTGGTCTGTTGCACTTCTCTCTGCTTCCCATAGAGCCGCATTCACCAGTCCACATATGGCAAGAGCTTGGCCATCATGACTGAGGCCCAGCTCTCCACAGCCGTCATTGAAAACCCAGAGATGCTCAAATACCAACGCAGGCAGCAACAACAGCAGCTGGATCAGAAGAGTGCCTCGGCCAGAGAGACAAGCTCAGCTGCCTCAGTTGCTGGTGTCGTCAATGGGGAAAGTCTGGAAGACATTAGGAAGGTGAGGTCTCGGCCCCATAGCACTGAGGACTTGGGTACATACCCAGGGACAGGGCAAGGGGAGCATGCAGTCTGTTGAACAGAGTACAGACACAAGTGGTAGGGAGGCAAGTGTATGCTGTGTCTAGAATAGGACCCGGGGTGAGCCAGCTTGGGGCTACTTGGCCCTATTGCCATCAGCTGCATGAGGTAGTAATGGAGCCTAAGGCACTTTATCAAAAGCCTCTTTGTCCCAAGGAGCTCTAGAGGAGGTCATCTCTTGTGGGAACTTCCAGACCTCACTTTTAGCCTTTCTAGGAAATTCTCGATACTGAGAACAGTAGATTTCAGATTCTGACCTTAGGAGATGTCTGTGGGCTCCCCGCTTCTTCCTCTGGAAGCCCATGTCTCACTGTGGACATGGGGCAGGAACAGAGCAGGAAATGTCAGGATCACCTGGGGAGCTTAGATCACCTGGGGAGCTTAAACCACCTCCAGGAGCTTGTGCAGGGTAACAAACCTCCCCAGGTAATTGAGACACAATGTGTGACTGGAAACCTTTGATTTTATGAGCCTTCAGTGGAAGAAATGACTCTGATGAGAGAATGTCTGGAGATCACAGCTTAGAGACAAGAGTGGCTTGCAGATGCAGGTTTCCTTCATTCTTTCCTTCAGTAAGCCCCATGGCTGCTGGGCAGGAGTGGCCAAACAGCGCGTGCTCACTGCCCAGGAAACCTGGCCGGGCCTGCAGTACTGGTGATGGAGAGCAAGGTGCTGCAGCCAGTTCAGCTGGGAGCTTTCTGTCCTTGCTGCTTTATTGTGCAGGAAGTTGAACACCCACCTGACAAAAATGTTTGTTTTTTGATTCAGTGGCTTAGTTTAGTTGGACCAGAAAGGCCATAGAAAGGGAAGTTAAAATTCATTTCCTTGGAAGCCTTATTTTTTGATATGTAGAAATATTTGGCAGAAACTTTTCTATTCATATATGTCACTCTACTTTGCCAGAATCTTTTGAAGAAACAAGTTGAGACTCGGACAGCAGATGGTCGCAGAAGAATCACGCCTCTCTGCATAGCACAGCTGGACACCGGGTACTTGTTCACTCAACGAGCTTTCTGTGGCCTTATCTGGGGAGGTCTTCCTCTCTCCTTTCACCAGTTAGCACTTTCATAATCAGGGTCTTCACAGGCTCTTGGGCCAATCTGACCCATAGAATCTGCAAATGGGGGCGTTGAGCCCGGCTCCCACCAGCCTCAAAGCCCTGTGGTTCCTACAGAGCCCTTATGCACATTTGACTCATGCAGAAGGTGGGCAGGGAGGAGCCCGTGACAAGCCAGAGGGCGAGGGCGCCTTCACAGGGCCAGTGTGTCCACATGGCCAGCTCTGCTTCATTGTTGGTGGGGCATTGAAGACACCAGGGAGAGAAGTCGGACTGATTTTTTTCTGTTTCATTTTTCCCTTTTATACCCTTCTATATACACACTGTTGAATAGTAAAAACCCAAAGGACATAAACATTACCCGTAATCCAGTCTCTGAGATATAATTACTGTTAACATTTTGGCATCTGTATCTCTGGTCCTTTTTTCCCCACTTGTTCCTGTATCTTGACCTTGCATCCTTTTTAATAAATAGTCCTCTGAAGCATTGGCTTGCTGATTGTCCAGGTTCCCAGGCTGTGAATGCACCATGATTTACTTGACCAGCCCCTTAACTGTGGACTTGTAGTTTGTGTCCAGTGTTTTGTGATTGTAAATGAATCTTTGAGCACAACCGTGACTGTTACTTCAGGATACTTCCCAGAAGTGGAATTGCTGGACAGAGAATAGGGCTCTATGGCACATTTCCCTGAGTGGGCAAAAAAGGGGGAAAGTGGACTCAGTCACCATTTGCTGTGTAGCATCTGTAGTCAGTCTTGCTTTTATATTGGTCATTCTCCCCAAAACAGTGTATGTTGATTCAAAGGATGATAAGGCCCTGCATGAAAGAAATAGACCCCCACTGTCAAGGTGATTCATTCTGGTTTTATACTCATTCAACCAGTCTGCTCAGGGCACCACACACACAGTAGTCCTTTGCACTTTGCACTTGTTCGTCCATGAGCTGTCCGAAATCTTCCTTGAAGTCTGAAGAGACCTTCAGTCATATGATATGCTGATCTGACCTCCTCATGTTAGAGTGTGCAGGTTCTGAGGCCCTGGAGGGCAGAGACCTCACCAGATGGAGCCAGAACCAGGTCTTACTCCTCCAGAAGAGTGGTTTTCCCTTGATCAAGTCTTTTTCCCATTATTAACCTACTAGTGGGTAATGCCATATGCTTACTTTTTATTAGGACCAAATGAGACAGGTATGTGACTGAGCTTTGAACACTGAAGGGCTTGTGGGAGTGAGGGTCCTGGAGGTGGTGGTGATGGTGGCACTTTTCTTCTATGGATCCTTTCAGGCCTTACTTGATGAGGAGACAGAGGTGGTAGGTGGCTTTCTACCTGGCCTTAAACCAACTTTCTGCCACAGGGCACATATTTCTGGCACCAGAACTTGATTCTTTTGGTCTTAAAGGCTGTTTTGCCCTCTTGATTCCCATGTTAAAACGAATAGCAACAGAATAGGTAATGATTAGCTTAGCTAATCAAGCAAGAAAAGAAAAAGCGCAAGTATTTTAAATGGAAATAATCACAGATAAAGAATGAATCAAAAGTTTGAAGGACTTCTGTACTGAATTCTGTGCAAATAAATTTAAAAGTAGATGATTTTGAAGAAAATAAAATTATAAAAACTGAAGAATCTATACAACTAAATTATTATAGAAGAAATAGAAGATGCTATCACAGAGCTAATCTACCAAAAGCCACCAGACTAAGAAGGTATCACAGGGAAATTCTAATAAAGTTTTCATTCTAATCATTCTAATGATTAGAGGGACAGATCATTCTAATACTATTAAAAATACTCCAGTGCATAGAAAAAGAAGGAAAATTTGCAGAACCTTTTTTGAAAGAACATAATATTTACACCAAAAACATGACAAAGATAGAACATAATAAATGCCTGATCAATCTCATTTCTGAATGTCAGTGCAAAGATGTTAAAGAAAATAGTAACAGAAACTTACAGTGTGTTACATTGCTAATACACTATGACCAAGTAAGGTTTACAGGGAAGCAAGGTGGTTCAAATTTTAGGAAACTTAATTTGCTTCTACATGTCAAAAGATCAAAAGAAATATATGATCATCTCCACAAATGCCTAAGAGACATTTTTACTAAATTCAACATTGTTCTGATTTAAAATTTAGTTAAATATGAATAGATGGATACTTCCTTAATTTGATAAAAACTCTCCCTTATTTTAAAGTAAATTCAAAAACTAAACAAGTGTCCACTCTTGCTGACTATACTTTAACATAGTTCTGGAGGTCCTAGCTCATACAGTTAGTCAAGAGAAAGAATAAATTGGAAAGGAGGTGGTAAATCATTATTTAAAGATGGTATGATCTACAAGAGAATCAACTGGGAAAACTGCCATAGATAATAAAAGAAGACAATAAAATGACTGGATACAACCGATCAAGTAGCAGCAACTACCTTTAGAAGATATAAAGGAAGAAATCACTTTCACAAATGCAATAGCTAGAATGTAACAAAAAAATGTAGATCCTTATGAAGAAAAAATTTAAGACTGAGAGAACTAAAAGAAAATTCAAAGAAATAACTAGAAATGCATACCATTTATTCCCTAGGGTGACTCAACATCATAAGATGATCGATCTCTCTCAACATGAGCCCATACAAATAATTAACAGGAGTTTTCAGAATTAGGCTGATTCTAAATTTATGTGGAAAAATAAGTAAGAATAGAAGAATATATATAGAAGAAATATTTCTGAAAAGGAAAATCAGAGAATACTAGCTCCACCAGAAATTAAAACTTATAAACTATAATAAAATGGATACTAACACACGAACAGAGTAATAGACTACAATGGAAAACACAAAAGTAAACCCAAATATTTATGGGAATTTTAAAGGTAGCATTTTGCATCAGTGATGAAACATCAGCTAATCTAATAAATGAGAGTCCGGACTACCTACCCTCTAGAAACAAAGTTACCTCACAACTTAAAATTAGATAGATTCTGAACAGCTCAGAGATTTTTTTTTTCTTAATGTTTAGCTTTTTTGTTTAAAATTTTAGAAGATTCCCTAAAAGAATATTTTTATGATCTCAGGGGTTAAAAAAAAAGTCATTTTTAAAAATGGCATAAAATTTAGACCACACAAAAATAACGTTTTGGGGGCAAGGAAAATTGCACCATAAAAAGTCGCTCAAGCTCCATGATGGTTGTAAATATTACTTAAAAATAAAATCTTAAAAAAAAAAAATCCTAGGGAAAATACTTCTTCTTGCTCATATAGGGAATTTTTTAGTATGTTAAATAGGTCTTGCAATCAATAATAAAGACCAGTAACCAGATAGAACAAAATACAAAGGATATAAACAGTTCACCAAAAAAAGGAAATCAGGTGCTTCTATATGAAAAAATTTCAATCTCACATCAAAATAATTGCAAATTAAAACTACATTAAGGTACTGTTTTTCATCAGATTGTCAAGTTATCAAATTGGTAAGACTTGGTGGGAGTTTGGGGAAATAAGCACTCTCATACACAGCTGGAATTTAAACCTCCAAGGAAGGCACTTTAGAACTATTAATCAGAACTCATTAATGAACATTCTATCTGCTGCTGCAATTCCACTTCTAGGAATTTATCCCATGTAATATGTGAAACAACTAGTGCAATGACGATTATGATAGGGAGCATCTTTGAGCAGCTACTGTGTGTTCTAAATGTGTGCTACACTGACCACATTAGTCCTGACCTCATGGGGAGGGTCCTGTCACTTTCTGTTTTGCAGATAGGAATCTGAAGCACAGAGTGGTTGAAGTGCCCAAGGTCCCAGCGCTTGTGTATGGCAAAGGAGTGAGACCTGGCTGGATTGGCCCAGGGCCCTTAGCCTTAGCACTGCAGTATCTTGCCTCCTGCTACAGCAGTGTCTATTACAGAAAAAGCTGGGAGACAGCCCTGGCATTCCTCAGTAGAGGCTGGTTAGGTAAATTATGGTATATCCATACAGCCCATAATGAAAGGGAGTTTTACTCCGTATGCTGCATTTCATGACTTCTGAGACACATGTTGCACATTTTAGCATCTCTGAAGTCGGTACATTTTATAATCAGTGGCATCTAACAATTACATTTGGTAGTAATTTTTTCTTTCTTAGTGGTACATAAAGTACCAGTTCATCTTAGATTCAATTACACCTAGTGTATGACATAATTTTAGTTTTCTTTTTACTTTTCTGTAACTTTGCACATTTTCTTCCACAAAAAGACTTCATCTTTGGACCCAGAAAAAAATTACTTCAAACATAGAAAGTACTTGATGTGGTGTCTAATTTCCCAGGCTGATTTCCCAGGCTGATTTTTGTTCTTGACAACAGGGACTTCTCCACGGCATTCTTTAACAGCATCCCACTCTCGGGCTCCCTGGCGGGCACCATGCTCTCCTCTCATAGCAATCCACAGCTACTGCCCCTGGACTCCAATACCCCCAACTCCTTTGGCGCCTCGAAGCCCTCCACAGAGCCTGTGGCTACAACTGGCGCCAGGCCGGCTGGTGATACTGTCAGTAAGGACAGGTGAGTGGGCATGCCAAGGCTTGCTCCTGTCCCTGGGGAAAGTTCAGGTTTGGACACAGTTCCACTGACACTTCATGGCTTCTTCAATAAAAAAAGAAAGAGATGCTTGATTTTTTTTATGAGGGCCTGCTTGGGAGGGGGACCTTGTTCAGGTGAGTCTCTTGATACACAGGACCACAAGGACTTCACCTCCTGGGGCAAGATGCAGGCCCAAGATGTGCTCCTAAAGGTGGGAACCGGCCAGGGATACATCGCCGGCCGCAGGGTCAGCCCCACCTCTCAGCAGGTCTGCACTGGAAGTGGCTTAGGCCCCCACTGCACAGTCAGGAGCATTGCCACACCAGTTATCTCAGGAAGGGTATCTGGGGAAGGACAGACAGCTCCAGATCTGTGAGACATTTTAACAGTTGGCCCTGCACATCCTGGGAGAGGAGGAGGGGGCTCCCAGATGCCTGCCAGGTGTCTGGTATGGGGTCCAGGCAGGTGGATGTGGTCAGTAGGAGGCTCCATGGCTTTGGGACTCAGCATGTGTGATGTGCTTGGGCATGGGGGAAAGTTTACAGGCTCAAGCCTAGGCCTCTCCTGTGGAAAAGACAAGGGCTATGGGGTGTGCACTTGGAGGAGAGTATGAAGAATGCATAATTGCCAAGGTAAGATGAGAGGGGCCACCCAGGCCACAGTGTGTTTGGCCAAGGATGAAGGCCAGGGATAGACCGTGGCTTCAGGACTCTGGGTGGGGACTTCTCTCATCAGACCATTTGTTGAAGCAGGAAAAGCTGGTGGTTTGGGGTGGAGATGCTGTATTCAGGTTGTGGAGATATGGCTGTATGGTGAGAAAAAAGGGTTGTAAGAGCCACTTTCTAGGCCTCATGCTACCCCAGAAGCTCTCAGAACAATGCAGTGGGGCAAATGTGAGTGTATTTGCTCATGACCTTCTTAGATAGCCAGACTTCAGATTTTAACACATGAAAGTATTGAAAGAAATAGCAGTATTAGATTACATCTTGAAATTGGGTTTATATAACTTTGGTATTTGTGCCCCTTTTAGTTGGCTCCAAGTAACACAAATCTGGGACTCCTAAATGCTTGATGGATTGTGCTTGACATGCCCTCCCATCTTTTTACCCCACCCCCACCCCCAGTGTGAATGCTACCTCTACTCCTGCTGCATCGTCACCCTCTGTGTTAACGACCCCGTCCAAGATTGAACCCATGAAAGCATTTGACTCCAGATTCACGGAGCGGTCCAAAGCCACTCCAGGTGCTCCTGCCTTGACCAGTGTGACTCCAACAGCTGTGGAAAGGTAGGTGGTGGCTATGTGGGGCCCCGAGAGACCAGGGAGGGTATAGGCTCAGCCAGCAGTGCAGTGTCTGCTTTCCCTCCCAGCAGCTTGCCTTCCCATGCAGGAGCAGACTCTGGTCCCTCTGTACTCGGGAGCCTCTGGGTCCAAGGAGAAAGGAGCAGCTTCTTCAAGTGGGAAGATGGTTGGAAGGAGCCATGGGGGCCATGGAACAGGCATAAAGGACAATGAAGGCAATGACACCAGGGCTGGTCAGTGCAGAGGCTATGCTGAGAATCAGGTGGTCATTTGAATAGAGCCCAGAGTGCCCAGAAGAGGAGCGGGAGATTGGCTCTGATACTGTTGCACCATGAAAGTAATGGCCCGCTCAGACACTGACCAGGCATTTGGGAGCTTGAGATAAAAGTGATAGAGGAGAGGTTTTTTTTGTTTGTTTTAAAGGTTTTATTTATTTATTTGACAGAGAGAGACACAGCGAGAGAGGGAACACAAGCAGGGGGAGTGGGCGAGGGAGAAACAGGCTTCCCGTGGAGCAGGGAGCTGGATGCGGGGCTCGATCCCAGGACCCTGGGATCATGACCTGAGCGGAAGGCAGATGCTTAACGACTGAGCGACCCAGGCGCCCCTAGAGGAGAGGTTTTTATGAAATTAGGCTTCTGAGCTCTTCCAGGCTCTATGCCACTCGCCCATTCTCTGCACCTCCCTTAGCACACAGCAACCAAGCCATATAGGATGTAGTCTGCTTCTTGGAATTGTAGGAGTCCTCTTGAGGTGGCTTTGGGACTCAGCATGTGTGTGTGTTGGCACAGAACTTTTCTGATTCCTGGGGAGCATATCCCCACCCCCACGACTATGAATCCACCATGACACAGAGCTCATTGCATAGCCAGTGAGGTGGGGGCTGAGGGAGTTAGAGGTGGGCTGGGCCAGCTTCCTACAGAGGGTCCAAGGGCTTAAGTGATGTCCTCTTGGGGTTACACTCCACCTTGAGGCCATAGGGGCTCAGCAGCCCTTTGCCACTATCAGCCGAATTCAGGGACATTGGTCATAGACTCTTGCAGTAGCCACACAACCAGCAGGTGCTTAATGAAAGGAGCATTTGTGATGAGACTTGACCTTGCAGTAGATGATGTCTTGGAGCTAAAGCTGTAGTACACTGTCCCCAGGACTTGACTCATCTCAAAATTGCTTATCTGATCAGGATTTGTTCTCCTTGGAGAATAGCCTCTGGAAACCAGCATGGGAGGACTCTCCCTTCAAGTCAGCTGCTGCATCTATGACCTTGGTGCAGGACCTCATATTCTACTCTGTAGTGTGATCACGCCTATTTTCGTATACAGATCTTCAGTGTGATCTCTTTATCTAGCAGTTCCTCTGTCCAGCAGTATGGAGGATCTGAAAACCTTCCTGCTGCTTAGTACTCTGAAATGGTGGATGAACTGCAGTATATATCCTTAAAACATGTAACTAGTTCATGAGAAAGTAAGGGAAGTCCCCAGGAGCCAAAATCTAAGGGTGGTGAACAAAACAACCAGAGCAGCGGGCAGCACCACACTGTGGGTGTTGGGCTGGGGGTTACTGACACGGTGGGTGACCTTGAGTTTTAATGGCCACAGAGATTCAAGACGGGGCCTTGGACCTGAGCCATGTAGGGGTTTAGAACTAAGATACTACCCTTAAGTCAAGCTGCTTGAGAAAGTACACCTCCAGTGAGGGAGAGGACAGAAAAAACCTGAAGGGCAGCATGAGAACATGGCCAAAAAGTTGAAATGTCTCAGCCAGTCCTCAGGGTTAGGAAAACAGACTGTATATCCATAGACCTGCCCTCCTGTGGACTGGGGATGTTTAACGCTACCCAGGTCATCTGGAAACCAAGCGAAGAAATGAACACAAAAGGAGATTTTGGCCTAATTAACACCCAGAGGCACTTGGCAAAACTGATGCAAACTCCCCCTGCCAACGACATTTCCCTGACCCCCCAAGATGTACTGCATTCCCACTGATGAAGCACAGTCAAAAAGGGACTCAAAATCCAAAGGAACAAAACACATGAAGAAACAGTGCATTCCACACAAATGTCAGGAGAAATAATGAGCAGGTTAGACCTTTTCATAAATTTGATCATATATCAGAGAATTGCCAGATAAAGACAGATAAATAAATACGCTTAAATAATCAAAGACATGAGAGATAAAACAGGAAATGTGAGGAAAGGCTAATTTACCATCCCTTACACATAAATTAACCCAAAGATGGATCAAAGAACTAAATGTAAGAGCTAAAACTTTAAAACTCAGAAGAAAACAGATGTAGATATATATGATCCTGGATTAGGAAACTGTTTCTTAGATATACCTAAAGCACAAGCAACTAAAGAACTAAACAACTAAAACCAACTAAAAGAATTAGGATCCAAAATGTATAAAGAACTTAAAATTCAACAATAGAATTAGTTAGAATAACCCAATTTAAAAATGAACAAAGGATTTGAATAGAAATTTCTCCAAAAATATACAGATGACCAATAAGCACATAAAAAGACTCTCAATGTCTTTAGTCATCAGGGAAATGCAAATCGGAAATCACAATGAGATACCACTAGGATGGCTATAATCAGAAAGTCATAATAAGAAGTGTTGGTGAGGGGGCGCCTGGGTGGCCAGTCAGTTAAGCGTCTGCCTTCGGCTCAGGTCATGATCCCAGAGTTGGGATAGAGCCCCATATTGGGCTCCCTGCTCAGCAGGGAGCCTGCTTCTCCCTCTCCTTCTGCCTGCCACTCCCCATGCTGTGCTCTCTCTCTCTCTCCCTGTCAAATAAATAAATAAATCTTAAAAATTAATATATTAAGAAGTGTTGGTGAGGATGGGAAGAAATCAGAACCCTCATAAATTGCTGGTGGGATTATAAAAGGGTTCAACTGCTTTAGAACACAATCTAGCAGTTTCTGAAATATAAAATAGAGTTATAAACATACAGTTACCATATGGCTCAACAATTTCATACCTACATATATACCCAAGAGAACTGAAAACATATATTCATGTAAAAATTTGTACACAAATGTTCAATCAGTATTACTCATAATAACCACAAAGTAGAAACAACCCAAATGTCTATCAGCTGATGAATGGATAAACAAAATGTGGTATACCCATTCAATATATTATTTGGCAATAAAAAGTAGTAGAGTACTTATACGTGCTGCCACACATGCAAGCTTTGAAAACATGCTAAATGAAGGGAGCCAGTCACAAAGGACCACATGTTGTTTGATTCCACTGATAATGAAATGTCCAGAATAGACAAATTTACAGAGACAGAAAGTAGGTTAGTGGTTGCCAGGGATGAGGGGAGGGAAGGTTGGGATGATTGCTAGTGGATACAGAGTTTCTTTTTGGGATTATGAAAATGCACTGGTGTTAGATAGTGGTGGTGGTTGCATAACCTTACAAATACACTAAAAACTACTGAATTTTATACTTTAAAATGATGAATTTTGTGGTATGTGAATTATGGCTCAAAAGGAATAATGCACCATCAAGAAAGACCAGACAGGTTTGGAAATAAACCAAAAATTACATACATACATTTATTTATTTATTATTTTTTAGAGAGGGGATGGGGAGAGGGAGAATCTTAAGCAGGCTCCACGCTAGGCTTGGAGCCCGACGCAGGGCTCAGTCTCACAACCCTGAGATCATGACCTGAGCTGAAATCAAAGAGTTGGACACTTAACTGACTGAGCCACCCAGGCGTCCCTCAAAAATTACTTTTAAAAAAGAAAAATAAAAATCATTGCAATTGAGACAGAACAGAGAACATTAGAAACAGCAGATAAGACCAGCTGAACAGAGCATTACATCTGAGGAACTGGCTGATGCAGAGGTGAGGAAGTGAAACTTAAGGAGGAGAGGCTAGAGATAAGAGGGCAGACAGTAAGGACAATGTGTACCTAGCAAGCGTTCCCCCAAAGAGGGCACGCTGTGGGGTACTTGTCAAGAGGAAGTAGCTGATATTTTACAGGCTTAACTCAAATGTTGAAACCTCAGTTTGGAAATGGAGTGAGTTCTGAACAGAATAAGGAAAACTAAACCCCCACCTTACAGAAACTAAGAGCACCGTAGACAGAAATTTCTTTTTTGTTGTTGTTGAGGAAGGCACCCCACGTTTGTCTAATAGGTTTCCATGACCTTTGTCATACTGTTTTCTGTCTCTTGGGGAATACAAACCCTGATTGGGGAAGCACATGGAATACCCCTTGAATTAGGCTGCTAGAAAGGAAAGTCTTGACAGCATGATCTGGTGCCACCATGACTGGCCCCTCAGCAGCTGTGTCCCTAAGGTCACACAGGACCTTTCAGCCTCACTTACAGCTCCAGGAACGACTATAGAATAAGGGAGCATCAAGTTTGTCATTCACTTGAAATTGGCAGTGAGTGAGCATTCACTTAGGGCTGATTTTCCTGCCTCTAAGCAGTTAGGAGCATTTGGTGAGACTCCCAAGAGCCTGGTGCTAAATTCTAAGGAGTTACGTTTAGATCCTCATATGAGGAAAATAGAATAAAATAAAGCACAGTATCTTTAATAAAAGCTTTACAGAAAATGCAACTTTTTTTTTTAAAGATTTTATTTATTTATTTGACAGAGCAAGTGAGCGAGCACAAGCAGAGGGAGAGGGAGAAGCAGGCTCCCCACCTAGCAGGGAACCCACTGCAGGGCTCAATCCCACTGAGCCAAAGGCAGTCGCTTAACCAACTGAGCCACCCAGGTGCCCCAAAATGCAGCTTTCTTGATATGGCTGTTTCTTGTAACCCTTTAAATCACCCATCAGTGGAGGTCTTCCTTTGGGGGCACAGTGTCATGCATAGTTAGGAGCAGCACTCAGAACCATACACGTTAAGTCCTAACCCCCCACTTTATGGTGGGGTGATCTTAAGACACACAGTCTTTCGCAGCCCATCTCCCCCCTAGGCAGAATGGCTCTCTGAGAAGCACCTGACTCA